CAATTCGATCCTGGTGGGTTTGACCGAAGCAGAATAATAGTGGAAAAGGATTTGGAAAAAGCTAATGAAAAGTGGAAGAAAAAAGTTAGAGTATTTTTAGGTGAGAACGAGGGTGATTTCGATGAAAATAAGAGGGAAGAATTCGTACCACCTCAAGTCTCGACATTCGACACTGCCCCTGGTCAAGTCGTAGAAGGTCCGTGGAATTAGGTAAAGAAGAAAAGAAGAGACCCGGAACGTATATGTCACAGAAGTCTTGATTTGGAAATGCTCTAGAAAGAAAGAAAAGGAAGGCACAAGGCTGAAGAGGTTAAGAAACAGCCAATGCATGCCTAGAAACCCGATGAAAGGACTTGCCCTATACTTACCACAGTGGAATGAAACTCGCGTATATGACCCTGGGGGAAAACAACGAGTAATCTACCAGGATCTTAGAGTTTTAAACATTGACGACGTAAAGCAAATTAACATTAGAAGCTTGTGGAACTCGCCTTTAAATGGGGTGAAATGTGAGGTATGAAACCCGTGATCGGTACGAGCTGCGCCAAGCTCACGATGTTCACAGTTATGACGATCTAATACCTAAAATAGAGTTGCCGGCGGTATAATGGGGAAATCGGGTATAATGGAGAAAATTGGTAAAGTCTCTAAAGACAGTTTATTAGCTTTCATGAGTAGAAAGTTTTTTTATAGTTTAAAGGTTTAATTAGATTTGAGGGTTTTAGTAAAGAAAATATGTAAACAGGATTTATTAATTATAATAAGTCCTAAGTAAAGTTTATTATAAATAAAGGCGTTATTGCCCCAAGAAAAAGGATGTCTCGTTTGCTTTATTAAAAATAACAAGTCCATAATATATTGTATCGACAATAATAAAACACTAACACTATACCCAGTATAAACTCTGTAAACCCCTATAAAGATTATCGTTCGTGCAATTTCTTGTTCATGTGACTTACCCTGTGGGACTTCGTTGAATCAAAGTAACCGAAAGCCTTAATCACCACCAGCCAAATCTAACACACCTCTTTAGTAAGGTTACTACCCGCAGGTTATGCGAGTTTTTGGATTGTGGAGCGACCGAGTCGCAGCTATTCCGCCCATAACAGTACGTACGTAATGTACAAAATATGCCAAGCTGGCCACCATATATAGAAAATCCATTACAAGCAACGATTTACCCTTTCACAACATCGTACGTGGTTATTGTTAAATAAATTAGGCTTACATTTTGCTGACAATATTCGCCTAAAATAAAATCGTTTGTCTAGATAAACAAATCTAAATAGAAATTTGATGTAATGGGAGAGACTACTTTGTTCAATGATCTTGTTTTACCAACCGCGTGGAATGTTGATGATAAATCACAGTTTGTTAGCATAGATTCAAGTGGGCTTAAAGTGAATTATACGGGTAAGATGTGTAATA